GCTCCTGGAGCCGGCCCGCCTCTCGCTCAGCTGCATGGGCTGGGCTGCGTGTCCCAGGCCCGCTCCTCCTGCCACCCACGCGTGCTCCGCCGGGATGGCTCACTAGGAATCTCACCGCTACCAACCTGGACCTGCCACTGCCCAGCCACTGCTGCTCACCTGCCCCGCAGACCGGAAACCACAGCTTCCTGGACGCCTGCCCCGTCCCCGTATACACAGGTGCCCCTGCCCCGGCAAGAGGCCATCACCTTGCCCCAGCACGACCAGTGTCTCAGCTGGCCTGTCTGCAGAAACTCGGGCCTGTCGGCCTCTCTGTTCGCCTCACTGTAACCAGAGTTTTTGTTTTGTTTTGTTTCTTTGAGAGGTTTTTGCTATAGGGCACATGCACTCCCCAGTAAGACACAGAGAGACACAGTGAAAAACCACCCCCCGGGGTGTGGCCACGCTGTAGTCCTTTCTTCGCCACTCTCCTCTCGGGAAGCTGGGCACGCATGCACACATGCCCAGTGTAAGTTTTAAGCTGCTGGGTCCAGGACTCCGTGAGAGTCCAGCAATGTAACCATTGTGCCAACTGCTTTTTTCTTTAAAAGAATTATTGTATTTAACTTTATTTACTTATTTATTTTTAATTTGACCTGAAAGGAGCAGAGAGAGAGAGAGAGAGAGAGAGAGAGAGAGGGGAAACAAACCGCCAGGTCCAGGACTTGAACTGCGGTCGGCCATGTGGGAGTCCAGCACCCTTAATCACTTCACCACCTGCTGGCCCCCAGACTGCTGCTTTGAAAAGACCAACAGCCCACGCCTTGTGAACCCTTCAGTAAGCCCAGGCTGCCAACCCTGAACACCCTCTACTGACAGCCGCCGGGGCTCCTGGGGAGGTGGGTCCTGTACTCAGGGCAGCAGGCACAAGGCTGGCCTGGATGGCAGGAGGGACACTTTCAAGCCTCCTGGGCGCTATCGCCTCCGAAGGACTCTTGCCAAAAATGCTTACCCTGCACCTCAGTTGGCCTTCTCCAGACCCAAATTCCAGTTTACAGGAAGTTCAGAGGATAAGATAAAAGTTCAGTGATACCAACGAATCGACGAATCCAGAATGGGGGAGAATATTTCATAAACTCAAGGAAGATACATGCTGGAGGGAGAAGAGCTGGAGGGCCCTTTGCGTCCCGTGATGGGATTAGCTCCTGGTCGAGAAGGCCCAGCTGTGAGCAGGCGAGCACACCCTGGAGCAGCAGGAGAGGCCCAGCCTGGACTGGGCGACCCGACAGACACTGGCGCCCCGCTCTCCCTGTGCCTGGGCCCCTGTTAAGGCACTTAGGGAGACACGCTGGACCTCCTAGGCCTACTTGAAAGTGCCGCAGCACAGTACGTGCACGCGTGTGTCTGGAGACGAGCACCCACGAGCGCACGCGGTGCGAGAACGAGGACGGGAACGCGGCTGCCGAGGGCAGGGGGAGGCGCACAGGTGTTTGTGCACGACCTTCACCTTTCATGTTCAAGAATGCGTGACAGGGGTACAGGCAAGAGCTGAGCACACGCACAGGCCAAGGAAGCACGCGGCAGGCAGACAGCACACAGCACTGGCCCCACGGCTCCCCAGCACAGGTGGGGCGATCTGGGTATAAAAGGCAGAGCCGCGGCACCCAAAGCACCGAGGTGACGGGTCAGGATGGCTTGAAACGACAGTCCCCACGGCGTGGCGGCGTGTATCGCTGTGGGATGTTTGGTACCACCAGGGCGGCACACAGTTTGCCACGTCCTACTTGGGAAGGGGTCCTGCCAGGCAGACCCTGCTCTGGTGCCTCGAGATGACCCGGGGCAGCGAGGAAATGGCCGAACACACCTCGAGAACGCGGCCGCGGGTCAGCCACAGGAGACCCTCCGCCACAACTAAAGGCAGGGAACACAGCGCAGGCGGGCACTGGGGGAGACTGGTGGCTGGGAGTCAGATGTGACGCTGGCCCGTGTGACTCCTGAGGCCCCCACACGAGCGTGCAACTGCGAGAGTACACTGAGGCGCTCGGACGCCGGAACGCAGCCGGGCATGGGCAGCGTGGAGGCCCGGTTCCGCCGAACAATCGGACATACATGCTGCTGGGCCTGCACCCGCCCACCTGTAGGCCGCCAGGGCCGCCCGGGGGGTCCAGGCTCACGCCCAGACCTCCCGCCTGCCATGCCGGCACACATGCCCACGACCCAGGCTGGCCGAGGTGGGCCTGGACTGTGGCACTGGGGCCTGGCTGGGCACCTGTCTCTCTCATGAAAGGGAGAGTACGCTGAGTTTGCTGACCCACTGTGTGGTGCTGGCCACCAGAAACCAAGTCTGACCACAGTGTTGAAAACCAGGGCCTCCGGGAGCGACGAGGCATCAGGTGGCCTCGCGCTTGTGTCCTGATGGGCTTGTAAGGAGGCACACGCTCTCTCATCACAAGTGCCCTGGGCCTTCAAAGTCCGACCAAACCAACTTTCTTCTGCTTCCACCATCCAAACCTGGGCCAGCCCTGTACCCTTGTAGCTAAAGGAGTCTGGTCTGACACGGCTGACCACGGTTCAAATCCTGGCCCCCGCAGCTTGAAAAACACACATGGGCCTATGTACGCTTGCCTCCCCACTGAGGGCCGCGTCGCATCCCTGTGTATGCCCACGCCCACAGAGGGCCACATCGCATGCCCGTGTATGCTCACACCCCCAGGGCCGCATCACGTGCCTGCATACACCCATACCCACAGAGGGCCACGTCACGTGCCCGTGTATGCCCACGCCCACGGAGGGCTGTGTGCATGCCCATGCTCCAGCTCTACCGTGCATGTACTCCCTGGCAAGTATTAAAAAAAAAAAACCCCAGGGACCAGCAGTTAGTGTAATGGCTATGTTGCTGGACCCCACGTAGTTGACGACAGCTCATGTCCTGGACCTGGTGGCTTAAAACTTATGCTGGGCGCGTGTGCATGCGTGCCCAAGATCCCGAGAGAAGGGATTGCGGCGTGGCCATCCCCCCTGGTGGGTGATTTCTTGCTTTCTGTCTCTGTTTCTTGTCTGTCTGGCGAGCGCACATGCCGTAGAGCAAAAACCTCTCCCCCCAAAAAAACAAACCCCAGATCAGATCACTAGCAACACGCCTGCCCGGAAGGGGAAGGCATGCTGGAATGAAGGCGGAATGATGGTATGTCTAGACCTGCCTTCGAACAGCATGCAGGTAGGAGTGACAAAATGAGATTGGCCGATAAGACTCTCGAGGCTTGGGGACCAGCAGTTAGCGTAATGGCTATGTCGCTGGACTCCCACGTAGTTGACCGCGGTTCGCGTCCTGGACCCAGTGGCTTAAAACTCACGCCGGGCGCGTGTGCGTGCGTGCCCAAGATCCCGAGAGAATGGAGAAGGGATTGCAGCATGACCATCCCCCCTGGGGGGTAATTTCTCGCTTTCTGTCTCTATGTCTCTGTCTGTCTGACGAGCACACGCGCCCTATAGTGAAAACCTCTCAAAAAAGACTCCCGAGGCTGGGGAGTGATAGGTGTAAGAGGACTCGGGTTCATCTGCTACAACGGAAAACAAGATAGAAAGGTGAGCGGGTGGTGGAGTGGTTAAGGTGCTGGACTACCACATGGCTGAATGTGGTTTGCATCTCAGACCTGGTGGCTTGAAAATCACACCGGGGGGACCAGCAGGGGGTGTAATGACTATGTCACTGGACTCCCATGTAGTCGACTGCAGTTCGAGTCCCAGACCCAGTGGCTTAAACTCATGCTGGGTGCGTGTGTGCCCAAGATCTCTGAGATGAGAATAGATTACGGTGTGGCCATCCCCCCAGGGGGTAATTTCTTGTTTTCTGGCTCTCTGGGGAGTGCACGCACCCTATAGCAAAAACCTCTCCAAAAAAAAAAAAAAAAAAAAAGAAAGAAAAAAAGAAAGAAAAAAAGAAAAATCACACCAGGCATCCGAGCACCCCAAATTGCCCAAAATCTTGAAAGGAGAACGGAGAAGGGATTAGGGCGTGGCCATCTGGGGGGGTGATTCTTACTGTCCCTCACTCTGATGAGTGTGTGTGCCCTATGGCAAAAATGTGAAAAACAAACCAACCAAAACAGAAAACTCAGAGCAGAAGCAGTCCTGAGAAGCCAGTCTCCAATGACGCCCACTACGCTCCCCTAGCCGGCCCAGAGCTTGGCACGGCCCGGACCCCCTCTGCCTACTCCCTGATTTCTCCACCCCCAGCATGTTAGCCTCTCTACCAGGGGGCCTGCTCTCCTGCCCCCGGGCCGTCTCTCTGCTGGAAAGGCGCTGCCTCTTCCTCTGCACCCATCTGACACCCTGGAGGGCTCGGCTCAGCCTGGGCGTGTCCTTGGGGGAGCCCCTGCCAACTGTGGAGATCAGGTGTGCAGCATGCATGTCCTCCCGCACCTGCCACATGGCAACCTGCTCAATTCCCCTCCTCTCCACTAGGTGGAGTCACGCCGCCAGGGACCCCAGCTCTGTCCTGCTCATGACGGCCTCTGGGTACCTAGCAGAGCACCCGGCCTAGCTGCAGAGCTGCTGCCAAACAAGCTACGGTCCCTGCTCTTGAGTAGCTGCGAGAGCGAGCAAAGGGCCAGTGGACACGTGCACCCTCATCAGGGATGACTGGGGCCCCAGAGAAATGTGCACAGCCGCCGGTTCCTGCCCCAGATAAAGGACTTGCATCTATCTGCACCCAGAAAGAAGGGCTGAGTTCTAGGCCCAAAGGAACCCTGTCACTGAGGACTCCGCGGGGAACGACGTGACTGGGTGACTGTGCACCCCGGGGTTTAGAGCCGAGCTCCGTCTGAGCTCCGGCAGACACGACGCCCTGAGGTACCTCGAGTGACTGCGGCTCCTAGAGTAGGACCGGCGCCGCCTGGAGCCCGGCTTGTCTTCAACCAATCGGATCTTGCGGCCGTTGACTTCTGTCCCATCCAGCTTCTCCAAAGCTCTTTTCATATCCGAGTAAGAGACAAACTCAATCACCCCTTCGTTTTTGCGGCCCTTGTGAGCATCTGCGTAGGTCACTTCTCCGGCCTGGCGCATGTAATCCTAAAGGAGGAAACCCCAACAGTTAGCGCACTTGTGCAGACCATGTGGCCTTCATCATGACAGCCCTGCTCTTCCACCAGGGGGCGCCAGCTTTCCTGGGAAGGTGGCCATTGCAACCACACCCACACCCACCACCAGGCTCTCCTCATTCGCTCATACTCGACGTGGTCCACGTAGGGAGAGTACAACTCCCGCCAGACACGTGCCAAGGTGACACAGAAATGAAGGGGGATGTAATTAGTATTTAAAACGAAAAGGATATCTGCATAAAGTTTAAAATTTGGGGCTTACTGCTAGCCTCCCCACATTTCTTTAAATATAATATAAGCGAGAGAATCTGAGGGACGACCACACGGACATTCAGGAGCACGTCATTTCTGCGTGCTGCCTCCTGAGCACCGCACACATGCCCGAGACCACGCCTCTGCTCCCTGCACCACGAGCACCGGGCAGGTTCCACCTCCCCGAGGAGTGCGCCAGCCACTTCTGAGGTTTCTCGGGGGTCGAGACTTTTAGCTCACACAGTCTTTTGCTGCTGTTTATAATCCAGGAAAGAACATCTCTGCACAATAATCTCTATTCAGTTGGCTTATCTGTAGGAGTGGACTCTGGGTAAAAGGCAAGGAGCTGTCCCACCTGGGATGCCGCTGGGACAGAATGAGGACACTGTCACACTTAGGCCAAGACTACCGCCCTGGCAGGTAGAGACGCAATGCCTCTGCCGGCGGTTTAGGGCAGCACCACTGCCGTCTCCCTCCGCTGTGCTTCCTGGGCACCCTCAGCAGCAAGCACGACGACGCCCGCTCATGACGGCACTCACTTCACCCAGGCGCTACTGCTCCAGACAGTCCAGGCAGGACGTGAGCAGGCAGGTCCAAACAGAAGCACAGGCCTTGGGACCCCAGTTATTTCTAGAAAACGACTACTATTATTAATTTTTTAAGAGAGATTTTTGCTACAGGGAGTGTGCATTCGCTAGACAGACAGAAAGCGAGAAATCACCCCCTAGAGGGCTGGCTATGCTGCAATCCCTTCTCCATTCGTTCAGGATTTTGGGCACAAACGCACACGTGCCTGGTGTGTTTCGAGCCACCGAGTCCAGGACTCAAACCGTGGTCGACTACCTGGAAATCTAGCAATGTACCATTATGCTATCTGCTTGTCCCAGTTATTGTTATTTTTAAAGTTTGCAATAAGGCATGTGTGCTCACCAGAGACAGAAAGTGAGAAAGCAAGCCACCAGGTCTGGGACTTGAACCATGGTGGACTGTGGGAGCCCAGTGCCTTGACCACCATGCTACCAGCTGGCCCTAAGAACCCCAGTTCTTAACGCAGCCCTCATGTGGGTGAAGCAACCAAGTCTCAACACTTCCAGCAGGGGACACCACCGTGTAGTCTCCCTCTACGTGTCACCACTGCTGGGCATTACACAGTTACTTAAAGACAGGGCGTCCTGCTGTGCTGTGACCCTCTGGCTTTGGGTCCCTGAGAAGCTGGGACCATAGTTGCATGCCGCCGCGCCCAGCCTTGGGCTGAACTGGGAGTTGAACCTGTGTGTCCCATGTGGTCCCAGTCTAGCAGAGCATGCCAACATGGCTGGGCCTACACACTTTTGGATTAAAATACCCTTAAGTGCTTTATTTTTTTATATTTTCTTCATTAATAGTTAACATTTATTGTGCCAGAAATCATTCTAGGCTTAAAAAAGAAATGTTAGCATGTGCACTAGTCAGAGAGGGAGAGAGCGAGTAAATCCTCAGGGGTACGGTCACACGGCAATCCGTCTCCCTCTTCCTTTTGGGGTTTGGGTACTCACACACACATGCCTCGTTTTGTAAGCTGCTGGGCCCAGGATCGGAGCTGTGCCACTGGCCATGTGGGAACTGGTGGTCCTAACCACTATGTCGCTGCCCGGCCCAGGTGTTCTTCTAGCTGCCAGAGGCTGCATGTGCCAGCGAGAGGAAGCACCTCAGGAGCGCGGCCCAGCACCCCTTCTGCCCCGCCCCTCCATCCGGCCAGCACTGTGGGTGCATGTGTGCCCGGTGCTCTGCTTCCGGGGCTGGGGTTTGAGGCACAACTAGCCATGTGGGGTCGGGGCCCCTTGACCACTAGGCTAGGGGTCAGCCTGCTCTAGGCTTCAAAACTCACCCCACTCTCACAGGGCCCTTGAGTTGGGTCAACAGTGACCCCTCTGGAAGCTGAGGACAGGCACAAGAGCCGCCACCATGAGGTGGCCACTAAGTGGCAGGCCAGGCCCACACAGGCAACAGCTCCAGAGGCCTGCTCTTTAGAGCACTCCACCTGCCCAGGCAACCTGCTCTGCTGGTCTTTTTTTATTGTTTTTTTATTTTATTTTTTTCCTGAGAGGTTTTTGCTACAGGGCACATGCACTCACCAGAGAGACAGAAAGAAAGTGAGATATCACCCCCCAGGGGTGATGGCCATGCCACAATCCCTTCTCCTCCATTCTCTTCTCGGGATTTTGGGCACGCACGCACACATGCCCGGCGTGAGTTTAAGCCACCAGGTCTGGGACTCGAACCGCAGTCAACTACATGGGAGTCCAGTGACACGGCCATTACGCTAACTGCTGGTCCCTGCTGGTCTTTTATAAAGCCAACTAAGGGTGTGAATCGCTCTTTAAAAAAAAAAAAAAAAGTTTTTTGTGACAGGGCGCATACATTCCAAGAAATAGAGAAAGTGAGAAATCACCCCCCGGGGGATGGCCATGGCACAATCCCTCCTCTTCCTGGGATTTTGGGCACACACGCACATGCACCCAGCATGAATTTCAAGCCACTGGGTCCA